TCTCCGCTCGTAGGACATGTAGAAAAAAATAAACATACTTTCATTATATAAATCGAACCCAAGCTATCGATTAAATCTAGTTAGAACTTAATCGGTTCGACCGTTATTGAGATCTCAAAATCTCGGGTGTCGCAACGCGACGGCTCGCGTTAAGAGACCCGGCGTCTCTCCGAAAAGGAGCTCTGTCGCAACACGTCATCAGTGTACATTCTTCACCATGCGGTTTTGCGACTAGACAGCAATTCAACAAAACTACGAGTAGTGTTTAATGCCTCTTGTCAAACGTATAACGGCACTACTTTAAATGATCACTTGTTAGTTGGCCCTAAACCCCAACAAGACCTCGCCACGATAATTTTACGTTGGAGACAGTTTCAGTACATTCACACGGCAGACATAGCAAAAATGTATCGTCAGATTTTAGTTCATCGCAACGACACCGACTACCAACGAATTCTCTGGAAACTTCCCGACAGCCCTTCGGTTCAGCACTACCGCTTGCTAACGGTGATCTACGGGTTCGCATGTGCCCCCTATCTCGCCATGTCCTCCGCCAGCTCGCATCAAATGAAGGTCAAGCCTTTCCCAAAGCCGTCCAAATTCTCGACAAGGTCATTTACGTTGATGATACCCTGTTCGGAGCGGACGATATCGAAACTCTCAACGAAACTCGTGAACAACTCATCGCGTTAATGGATCGAGGCGAATTTCAATTGCGAAAGTGGACGACTAACGCGATGAAATTACTACAGGACATCCCACCTGATCACCAGGAGCTCTCTAATCATTCGCTCTCTTATGACGACTCTTTCAAAGTTTTAGGTCTCTCCTGGTTTCCCCTCGAAGATTCCTTCCGATTTATCGTTGCGCCCTATAAGAACCCTACACCTTCCAAACGATCCATCCTCTTCTTCGTGGCTAAGTTATTTGACCCATTAGGCTGGGCCTCTCCAATCGTGATTTCAGCCAAAATCCTGTTACAAGAGTTGTGGCTCGCCAAAGTTGAGTGGGACGCCGCCCTGCCGGAAGAGATTCGTCATCGCTGGTCAAAATATTGCGCGGAGTTACCCTCCACAATGTGAGAATTCCCCGCTGGACGGGAACGCATCGAGACATCACGTACCTCGAGATTCACGGATTCGTCGACGCATCCAGCCGGGCGTACACCGCTGTAGCTTATTTACGCGTCCGACGCACTGAGGGCGACGCCTCGAACGTCCTCCTCGCTGCCAAAACTAAGGTAATCCCCCTCAAAATAATAAGCATCCCGCAACTGAAATTAAACGCAATTGTGTTGCTAAGTCGCTTGCTGAAATGGGTTCAGAATTCCTTACAGCTTCCGCAGGCCCCTCTTTACGGCTGGACAGACTTCATAGTCGTCCTCGCGTGGCTTACACAACACCCTTCAAAATGGAAACTGTTGTGTATGTAAGGAGTCCGGAGTAGAGAGGTGCCAATAATCGTAGCCAAGATATTCTTGATATAACAAAAAGTATATATTCTTAATATAGTTAGTCGGTTCGAGACACGTGTGTGCAGTTCGGAGTGCCGTATCCTTCTCCCCCGAGTGATGTGCTTCAGTTACGGATCGGAGCTCGTTTCCCCACTCTCTATTCCATACGTCCTGAGTTCTGCTCCGCCAGGATTCGGACGACTCAGACGTTTCGCAACAACGCGGCAATTACAAAACGCATATAACAGAAACCTTACGTCGCTAATCGGGTGTCTACCATTTAAACCGCTCTACCAGCTCTTAAATGGAATTATGTTGAATCCAAAGATAACCCCGCGGATTGTGCCTCCTGAAGTCTGCCCATCACCTGGACCTGGAGCATCATCCGCTGTGGTGATCAGGCCCTCCGGATTTTGCAAATCCGCATCTCTCTGACCGAGGAACACTCCGCCACCCCAGACCGATGCCGGATGCGGAACAGCCTTAATGGAAGCCACCCGGTCCTTGGTTCAACACGTAGCTACGGTTTCTACGTGGGCTCTCCCTGACGACTACTCTTCGTGGACTTCGCTTGTCCGGGTAACCGCGTATATTTAGCGCTTTATTAATAATCTTAGAAATAAGAAAAAACCATCTCCCTTAATCCGAATTATTCGTTCCCGAGATTCAAGAAACTGAGAAATTTTGGATTCGTTTAGTTCAATTATCGCATTTCTCCAACGAATTGAAAGCCCTGTGTTGCGGCTCGTCGATTCCCAAATCAAATCCCTTGTACACGCTTACTCCTTTCGTGGGAAAGGATTCAGTAATTCGGCTTGGCAAGCGGCTCCAGAACGCCCCGCTCGACTATAATGAAAAACATCCAATAATTCTATCGGACCATCGAGTAACTCGACTCTTAATCGAGCACACAAGCTCTCGCTTCGTGGCGGGATCCAGCTTATCTTACGAACGCTGCGACAGCGTTACTGGGTTTTGTCTGCTCGGTCTCTCATCAAAGCTCATATTCGGTCTTGCGTGGTCTGTACCCGGCATAAGGCGAAAACGGAAACTCAACGCATGGGAGAACTTCCTTTCCCTCGAGTCAATCTCCGCCCTTCACTCACACTGGGATGGATTACGCGGGACCGATTAATCTTATTTCTCATGTGGCACGAGGGTAAAAAACCACAAAGCATTATATAATAGCAATTTTCATGTGTTTCGCCACAAAGGCAATTCATCTCAAATGTGTCGATGATTATTTAACAGCTGCATTTCTCGCGACATTTTAACGTTTTGTGAGTCAACGTGGACTTCCCTTGCACGTTTACAGCGATAATGAACCAATTTCCAAGGAGCGGATCGCGAACTACAAAAAACTCTCCAATCCCTAACCCAAGATCCTCACCTTCGAAGGGTTTTCACCAATGACAATATCGTTTGGCATTTTATTCCTTCAGTAGCCCCTTATTTTGAGGGGGCTGTGGGAAGCCGATGTAAAAAGTCAAACACCATCTCAAACGCATAATCGGGCCTCACACTCTCTCGCGAGTGGAGTTCACCACCTTATTATGCAAAATTGAGGCATGTCTAAATTCGCGTCCACTGACTGCTCTCACTGCCGAGCCATCGGACATGTCCGCGCATACGCCCGGTCATTTCTTAATCGGACGACCTCTGGTCAGCGTCCCGGAGAAATCCGTGATCGACATTAACGCACATCAATTGAATAGATGGCAGCTGGTGCATGTACGAACAAATCTGGCGCCATTGGATGCAGGATTACTTGCACCCTGCCGAAAATGTTCGATTAAAACCGATTATAAAAAAAAATTATCCGAATCGATCGGGATTTCTACACCGAAAATACGATATCAAAAAGGATTTAAATCATTCAAATCGAATATAAATCACTTTAGACGGATTAGTATCAGGTAATATAGGAATCTATGTCAATCCAAACTTCGACGATTGCTCGTACGAAAAAAGCAATTGGTCGATCCAAAATTTACTGATTGATATATAAATATATCATGTCAAAATTAATTATATAGTTCAACTAATAATAAAATTTCATATATATTTTATTATTCTAAATGTAATATAGAATTAATCGAATCAATAACAAGAAAAAATTTTCGAAACCAAACTCGAATTTATGACGAATGTAAGGATTAATACAA